CGCTGCCAGGTGTAGACGAGCCCTGGCTTTCACCCATCCTTCCAACCGCTCAGCTAAACCAAAGCTGATCATCCCCTTGAATGAAGGAAGGCTGTATGAATATGAGTCTAGACTGATGGTTGCCTTCGACATCAACTCCTTCGCACGGTCGGTGCGTGCCACCTTGACAGGGTAGCCAAGCCGGTGACACTCGGCGATGATTTCTTGCAAACCTGCCAGGATATGTGGCCCTTTGCGCGACTTGACGGGAACCACAAACCTCGGGACCTTGTTGGCTCCATCAATGGTCAAACTCATCATCAGCTGTGGATCTCCCCAAGGGTCAACCTCTGCGCTGAGCTCAGCTAAACCCACACCTGCGCCTGGCTCAGGTTGGTTGCTGTCATCACGCAAGGGTTTGTCTGGCGATACCTTGGAACTGGGGTCCTCAGGTAGGTTGCTGGCATCAGGGTCTGCATCTAGGTCCAACCAACTAGCTTCTGACCCGGAACCATCACCCTCAGCATCCTTGCGGCCTTTGAATTCCTCAACATCCATCTTCAACCAGCTAGTCTCTGACCCGGACCACTCTATATCCCCTAGATCCTCAAGGGACGCTTCAGCAAATGGGGGAGAAACGACCTCCTCCTAAGCTTGTTGACCAGCCACCTTTGCTGGCTCCTTTGATGTTCCTTCCGGCAATGCAACCTCTGGAACGCGCAACTAAGGCATACCTGTACCCTCCTCCATCATCCACACCTTTCTCCTTAAAGGGGACGGTGAAATCAAATCTGAGGGCATACATGTTCGGGCACTTGACCCTTCGGTGCTGTAAACCTAGTGCACCACTCATCACGCACTTCAAGCAGTCCTTGCGGAAAGGAATATGGTGCGCTGCAATGTGCCACCTCCACCGCTCTCGCTCTTTGTCACTGAGTGGCTTGCTCTGAACCGAGCAGCGCTGCGGAGGAATCCTCCACCACCTCATTTCCTTCCGCTGTCCCTGGGCCCATCTCCTCCTGCCGTCCTTCATCGGCAGATGACAGGCTCTCTGCAGAAGCGCGGCCTTCAGTTGCAAAGATCGCATCAACCACACGGTGCCGAGTCCGAACTCGCAGAATGAGGAATCGGAGGAACCACTGGTCCTCCCAAGCCATCCCCATGAGCCGCTCCCGTTCCAGGTCCAGCATACAACAGCGGAGCCTCGCCAGTCATCTCCTGCAACCGGCGAGCCTGTGGAGGTGAGAATAAACCACCAGCTCCCACCTCCGAAGACTCATCTGCCCTCTGATCACCTTGCGATCCGGACCCTGCTGTCACAAACCCGTATCCACAGTACCCGCAAACAAAAAACCTCGAAGTGACTCCTCCTGTGCCAAAAAACCAGACCCTGATCCAGACTTAACCACGGGCATCACTCCCTGCACCTTGCCAGCCACAGTCGCCATGACCATTCCAGCCGCCACTCTCAAGGGTGATGCTCCTGGCCTCACAGGCTCGCTGGAACCTGAAGGCCTACTTTCTTCCAGGTATTCGCCCTGAACCGCAGGAGGTCTAGTTTCACCATCCAAAGTCATAGGACCAACAGAACCATATGTTCCGTTCAACACCGACGGAGTCGCGCCAGCGATTTGGGCGCCCATAACATGTTGAGTAGTAGCTCCACCACCCTTGCTTGCAGCTCCACTGCTAGGCTCACGAGGGGGTAGATCGTTCGAATTGGGGTTCTCGTTAGGGTTGTCCTCCATGGTGAGTCGAGCTCTCTTACTTCTCAGAATTGCTTGGTCCTTCCTGTCTTTGTCCACTGTCCAACGGTCCATACGTTCGTGCGGCAAGCTGTACACACCGATGTATGTTCCTAAGTACGGCCTTAATAGTCCTAAGCCAAACTGCTGAAGCCTGTGCAAACAACTGGCTCCACATCCCAAACGCGAACATAATCTTCAATCTTCAATCGCCTAACCATGAAAACTGTGCATCGTTTCCTAGAGCATATGCCAATTTGTTTCCAGAAAAGCTCACTTCTCCACGTTCATGATTCACCCCAGGCTTCTTGCCACCTGTCTGATTCTTCTGTCTTCGCCCGCATTGCATTAAATATAGAAATGCATCGGTGTTCATCTCTGCCTTGCTTAGTGACATCACCAAGCAGAGAAGCGATGCTGGACGTAAGGACAAGGCAAATTTTTGGATTCGTGACACCCACCCTTTCATTGGGAGGTGACGGTTGACCCAACACCTTGAACTCGCTCGGCCGCTCCGATATGTTAGACCCGAACCAGTCTCGGGCGATGGCGCTTTGTTCGCATATCCTAAACCCGACGCTTCACTTTCGGCCACGATTGTTGATCCAATATGTCTTATGCCCGACCCCCGCATTTGGACACCTCACCATCGATGCCGGGCTGTTTTCACTGCTACACAGAAAGAGCTATGGTGTCTTGAACCACTTGAGAGATAATGGGCAGCGGAACATATACATGCGAGTATGCCACCACGCCTTTGCTGTAAGGACCTAGTAGGATGCATCATACCGCCTGAAGGCGTACATCCTTTTTAAAGTTTCAAACAGACTCTAATCATCTTTTACTGGAAGCATGGCCGGCACACTTACACAAAGTTGGGCTCTGGAAAAACATGAAGTAAACAGTCTACTTAATTTAGTAGAACAGGTACTAGCCACGCGCCCCATTTTTCTCGGCTACTGTCAGAGTGTTTCTTCAGGGTTTAAGTTTCGGACGAACGATTCTGCGATCACATTCGGATGAAGTTCATCCGGGTCAGAACCATTCCTCGTAATCTGTGTCAAAGATTCCGAGAAACATGTTTTTTGCTCCGGGTTAAGACGGTGTCGGACTGCTTGGTCTGACCTTGGGCTTTGGCACAGCTTGTGAACTGCTCGCCTTCGCCTTCGGTTCAGATCTTGAACCGCTCGCTCTTTGGCGGCGTTGGTCGCAGTGTCCATCGGATGATGGCCAGGACCTTTCAGACTCATCTCCTGAAGCGATAACGCATGGGCGTGTCTGGCATCCCAGTACATGTCCGAGTTCGGATTTGTCAGGGGTCCTGTCCCTCAGCGGATTCATCTTCCTCATTGGCGATATCTGTAAACATCTGCTCCAGCAAGTTTGCAAGCTTGTGGCATCTTCGCTGGACATCTGTGCCTCCTGTCGGTGTCCTATTAATGGCGCCGCATGCGGCTTGGAGGCTACTTATCAGGATGTTCACTCTTGAGAGAGTATTATGATACCCATGGTCTTCTCCTGTCCTCCTGAGAAAGGTTTGAACCGCCTGAAGTTGGGACAGGATGTCAGTGAAATGCCTGATAGGCACCTTTATGCTGTGGTCATCACCGACAGGGAAAACCTGATAAAATCTGTCTTTAGGCTGGCAGATTATCTTTCGATGGCCGGTGTGAACTCTGTGGCCACATTTCTTCTTGGTCGTAGTGCTCGAGAAAAAAATGATTATGTTCCTTCAAGGTCGGAGATGCTCCTGAAAGAGTTTTGGGTGTGCTCCTTCGTCAAATTAAGAGCATCGTTGGCGAGGAGAGCATTGCCGGAGGATTTTTTATGGTCTGCCTTCTTTCTCTGGCGCGTTGGTCACGAAGGTTTTGTCGACCTCTTCTTGTCCGCTTGGGAGCGGCTGTTTGCTCTATGCACTCAGCCTGCCTTCTCCGGCTCCGCGGCCACGATTTCCTCCACGATCTCCTCGCCGATGTGCTGGGAGGCCCGTTCGACCCTCAGCTCGCCGGCCAGCTTCTCTGCTGCTTCCTGGGACATCTTGCCTGTCCTCCATAGCCACTCTCCGAAACCGGATGCGATCTCCCTCTCGTCGAGCTCCCGGATCATCCGCCCTCGCCGCTGTTTCGTAGATTGTGGTATTGGTTCACTCCAGGATGGTGTAAAGCCGCCCCTCGTAAAGGCTGATTTCGCGGGATCATAGCCTGGAGGTCCGACCAGCGGAGGCTGACCCACGCCTTGACTAGCTTCGCCCAAGCCCATATCGACCGCCGTGGAACTACCCATGACTATCCTCTCCCAGCGCGCCAAGATAGCCGGCGGGTGCCGCGGAGCCCTCTTAGCGAGCGCCTTCCACGATAGCCTCTCTTCCACGGTATCCTTTACGGCCCAAACAAGCCGTGCAGCCGTGGCTCTACCATCGGGCCGAACTCGGCCACCTGTTCCATCCAGCTGATCGCCTTCAGGATAGCCTCGCGAAAGTTAGCTGCTTCTCTCGCGCCTGCGCCAGGAGCCCTCATCTTCTCGCTTTTTGGGCGGCTCCGGCTCGCCCGGGCACTTCCCTAGCTGCATCCATATGAACGAACTGTGCTGCCGGGAATCCACGGACCCTTCTCTCCAGGCCTGCCGTCTCCTTTGCCTCCTGTATCCACAGGTACAGGAAGTCGCCGAAATACGGCTGTTAGTCTATCCCGACCTCGTCTGCCAACCACGGTCTCGGCATCCTGGAGTTTGTAGACAGCCAGTTCCAGGGACCCGTCCTAGCTCGAGTCGCCAGCAGGAAGGTCGGACTCCCTAGCTGTGTCGCAGGACTTGCCGGGGCCCCCAAATGACTAGCTCCGACAACGGCGACAACGGTGCGGACACTATCCTGCGACCTCTCGGGCTGGAAGAGGCCAGTCTAGTAGCCGTGGAGCGCGGGGGGGGGTTGCCATTTCGCGTGCTGAAACGGGGACTTTATCCAGAATGGCTACGGATACAGAACGTTTCTCGCCGTTCCAAGTCATGCTATCACAAGCTCGCACGGACTGTCTGCACAACCTAGCACGATTCTTAGAATTCTTGTCTAATTTGGAGTACTTGGAACTTAGCGAAAGTGAAAAAGCCGAGTGAGCTCGGAAGGCCGCAAATCAACCGAATTATTTGGCCAACATCTGCAAAGGGTGCGTAGGCAAACTACAGCAGGCAAGATCTCAAGTGGTGTGAAATGTTTCGAACATCAATGCATCGCGTGCGACTGTAATTAGGTGGAAAAACTCCTCTGAGCAACACTTGCGACACCTGGCGCAGCTCACCGACAATGGCGGCATTGACGTTGTTCACCACCTGTGACCAACGATGTGCAGGCTAGATGTTGCAGTCGAACACAAATGGAAGCCAAAGCCAAGACAGAACAGCAAAGTCGTATACAAACCCATAGCTTAAAAAGCTCCACCACGCGAAACGAGGGGAGACCGCTCACTCTCGTGTGCAAGAACACAAGCCAGGGATACAGCACAGACCGCATTGATGTCACCTTACTCAGATCGATTGCGCATGCTGCAGGCAATTGTCCCAGAACTTAGGCCGTCGCAAGTTGTGACAGACCTCATCATTGATTCCTGCCTGCAAAACATGGTGTTGGTGATCGCAAGGAGTACATTCGACCAGGAGTGATAAAGTGCAAGATCTGTAAAAGCGCGAAAGCAGCTAACTGCTGGCTTGGGCATCCGCATAATGTAGAAGGCTTCATCGATGAGAGTGGTGGTGAGAACATCTGGATCATCTGGATCCAAGCCTGACTGCACTTCAAAGCCTAGGGGGTCTGCTTCTGCTCAAAGATGCTTCACTTCAGAGGGCGGCGCAGTCGGTTTCAGTAACGGCCTTCTCCACAGACTGAAGAAGGAAGTATTGTTCGACCTGGGCTTTTTGAGGAGGTCTGCCTCTCGGCGACAAGAAGACCCCTTGGCCGGAAACCAGGACGTACGAAGACACAAGCTCCTGTACCCTGGCATGGGCCGTCGGTCAAAACTTTTCAGGAAGGCGCCGGACATTTCAATCTCGGACCTGTGCAAGAGCTTCGTGTCCGGAAGTCCATCGTCGGGACAGTGGCCGACTGGCCTGGCCCAAAGACTCTTCTAAAGATGCCCTATAATTAATTAGTATATATATATGTATATATATATATATACATATGATTACAAAATTTATATATATACATATATATATATGTGTGATTATATTTGCTATATATATATATATATATATATATATACTTACATTCGAACTGATTCGTACCTTGGATATACTATCCATCCTAGTAAACAACACTATTGAGCTAATAATCATCAACTAAGTTAATGTCAGCATCAGTTAATACAGAATGACTAAACTCATGTATTACATCACTTTTTTTTCTTATTAGTATATATATATAGTATAAATGTGTATGTATATATATATATATACACTATACACACCTATATAACATACATAATATGTGTATATGTATATATATATATATATATATTTATTTATTTATACATAAAGGTATATATTAAACATAGTACTAGAATTATGTGTAATACAAATATATATATATATATATATAATATATATATATATATAATATATAATATATAATATATAATATATAATATATAATATATAATATATAATATAATATAATAAAATGTAATATATAGTAATAATAACAATAATAAGAAGAAGAAGAAGAATACTAATAATAATAATAATAATAATACGCTGATAAGGTGTACGATGTAGGTAAGTATCGCCGCTTACTTGATTGCGTCTAGCTTAATCATTAGCACACATAAAATACAAACACATGTCTAACATTAAAGCCTATATAGCAATATCTTTGTATTGATCTACAGCCCATTCAAAAGAAAGATAGAACATATCCCCCTTCAGCCCTCTAGGACACTAGGACTGCTGTCAAGGACAGTCGCCGACACAGGCAGGCATGACAAGTTGTTCGCAAAACTTGCTTTGTCGTCGATCATGTCCACCACACTGTGCCTTGGACTCAACAAAAGATCTAGGCTAAAGGCTATAACGTGCTGTGATCTGTGGGTCCATAACCCTGTCCGCTGCGTTTTGAAGCTGCGTGCTGTGCAATGCATCCTGGACCGTCTCAGACATGGACGCCACCGAGTGAATGTAGGCATTGAACTGCCTCAAGCTCAACAGCACCACACAAAAACATCCGTAGACACCGTGTCGGCTGAGAGTTGGACTGGACTCGCTGAGTGATCATCGCCGTTTCCTTTTGAGAATCTGAACATCACCAGGAGGCTCGTAACGAGGGCAAAAGGGGCAGCTTTACTTCCTCCAACACCGCACCCACGTCCCGCATCTCCGAGTTGGCAAACTGCTGAGAGAAGACCTGCATGACATGATAGGCCAACGCTATGAAATTGAAGCGCGCCAAGCTTTTCAAATCTCGTCATCGCCTTGGCATTGTCCTTGGCAAACTTGTCAATCACTTTTATGCCCTGGATGTCAGCCTGTTGCCAGCAGTGCAAAGACAAAACAACGTAGATTTCTCACACGACTAAACAACATGACCTCGAATCTTTGTGCCGAGCCGTGCATAGATGTTGCTGTAGCTGCCACTGAAGAAGAACGACCCTCAAGCTAAGTGTTCGAAAACGAACCGAGTCTGCTACGTAATACAGATGTGTTCGGAATCTGCGTGAAAGGTTTCAGCATGCTCCATGTATCTTAGCTGTACGTGGGACGTTCTGAAAGTCTGGGGTGGGCTTTAACCGGACAGGTTGGGCAGAACTGCAAGCCTTGTGCAGACTGACAAACTCTTATCACAAGCTTCACAGATATCTCTGATGTTGAAACTCGAGCTTAAAGTGTGCGAAGTTCTCTTGTCGACCAATATTACTTTGATGAATTGCCTGTTTACAGCGTGCCAGCCCCAGGCATGCCAACATTGAACACCGGGAACCTCATCCAGCAGACCACGGACGACCACGATGAAGTTTTCCGGTCCAAACTCTTGTTCGACTGCCTGCTGATGCTCCTGCAGTCGCTGCAAATGAACCATCATGAATCAAGAACCCACCGAAATTCGCACAAGACCTGATGACGATGAAGCAGGGCCTGGACGATGTCTGCGATGGCTACGAACACAGATGTCAAAGCCTCTGCATACGGCGCTGGACCTTGGTCCTGACAGAAGATTGGCAGATAGAGACAGACAGAGACACAGAATCTGGGAAGCGGGACGGCTCGCTTGCCAACTGCCGAGCCAAGCCTGGTGTGCAAAAGACGGATGCAGGTCTTTTGCTGAAGCCCGTGCTGGGTCACAGCTTGAGTCCGGTGCTGACGCTTTATGTCCGCAGTGGCCTTCTCAGCCAAAGATCTTTGAATAAACCTTGTCACTGACGAATTCAGCACAGAGCCGCTTCGGGCACTGTTGCATGGCAGCTACCGCAAAAACATAAAATTTGAGACAGCCATGGCCCCCGTCAGTGAAAAAAACCTTCTACCAGGCTAGCAAGGCTTATCTGTGATGCAATGGGCTTTGGTCGGTCTGTGCAGAAGCTCTCTGCACTTCGAGGCCAGAAATGTAAGATGTAGCATCGGTATGGGACACCGGATCCGTCTTTACCATTTCGAGAGCCTGGAAGGCTTCGGGCTCCGGGAGATTAGGTAGCATGTTCGTGCCGGTCGCGGTGCGACACCAGAGTGCAAACCAGGCCCACGTGCATTTTGGAGGCGTTGCCGCTGCCGCATGCATTTCCACATGCTACAGCTCCGAGAAGTTAGTTGGAAGCAGTTCGATGATTTGGGGAAGCACATGCAACTATGCAGATGCATAGTATCGGTTTAGCGGGGACGGACGGATGAGATCTGAGAAAATGCCTTTGTGAGCCACTGCCATCCCCTGTCTGCGCGGTTCGGGTCCAGTGGTCAATGTTCCGGCATTCGCTCAGTACCACGACTACGCAAAACATGCATCCTTGGTGGGATCTGCACTGCTTGGAAACAACATCCACTGTCACTAATCTTCACTGAGTGCCCACTCAACGTACTTTCGGACTCCTTCTGAAGCAAGGCCTGAGAACGTCAGGGTGACAGCGAACATTCGCGAGAAGCCTTGATCGATGCTCTCTTAATGCAGAGGCTGCGGCCAAGAGGGTGAAAAAGCTTTGCAAACCGCGAAACACCGCCCGCATCTTTGGCGGCCATGGCGGCTTCGAAGCGTCTGTGACCAGATGCGCTCAACGACCACATCTTGCGATCTTAATCTGCTCTAGTCTGGGTCGACAACAGAAATTCCCACAACAATTGAACAGGTGACGGGCACCATGGCATGGTGTGGCCTTCGCACAATGGCACTGAGCTGCCGCTCTGCTTCTGTCCTCAGCTACACTTCCGAGATCACACAGCCTGCTTCGTTACGGCTGTTATCCTCCTCGAAAAGCGTCTGTTTTCATGCCGTTTCTGGAGAGCAGTGGATCTGAGAGACTGCCTGACGTGTCCGGTGTTGGTATTCAAACGGGCCTCCGCTTACTTCTAGCATCTTGTCTTCCATTGCCAGAACTGTCGTCTCAGGCGACTGGGAATTCCGGCATGTGCCGATGTCGATTCCGAGATTCCCGATCAATTCGCCCACAGTCACGATTGACGTTCGAGACTCGCCTAGCTTGTATTGTATTGGGTCTTTTGCCGATTTCGTTCAACTTTGACCCCGATAACATCGAAAGGGCTCTGAGAAGCTGACAGTGTCCGGACGGTTGCATCGTCAGTACCAGGCCTCAGGTCACCAGGTCGCCTGTGCTCCAAGATTGTCCTCTGCTCTTGGGTCGAGTGGCGGCAAACTGTCCTGGGACGCCCTGAAGCGAGAGACCTTAGCGGGCGCACGCTTTCGGGAAAAATGACAAGCTGGACAAGTGGCCACCAGGCACGCAGCAAATCTGGCCGCTTGTTCGAAATCTTCAGAAGAAATAGCCTTCATCACCTGTTGAATGCAACATGAATCGCCGGCGACACGAACTTCAATTTTCACCACATTCCTCAAGCAAACAAAATTGGACAATTGGCACCATTCAACTCAAGGCTGACCTTCAGAAACAACGCAAAGATTCTTCCAGAGACAGTCATGCCGGGAAGCCAAAAACCAAACCGTGTTTTCCCCGACATTGGAAAATCGAAACCTGCATACTGACGCAGGTCGGAGATTGCTGTCAGGCAGAGTCAAAACAATATCAATCTGGAGGTTTTCGAAGCTTCAAGGTTTAGCGGTTTACCGCTTTCAGGTTCACGACCTGGAACGTTGACAGCTCCAGGGCTACATCCCGCGACGTCGGGTAGATACACGGCTAGCAAATGCCAGCAAAGGATATCAGCAACTCAAACATGCTCGGACTGTTCGAAGGAATCAGTGGAAAATGGAATGTGGATAGAAATTGGACCCGACTCGTAACCCTCCGTCGCGAGTCCCCTTGCCCTTTCTGGCACATGGCGACCCATACCATTAGCACATGTGGTTCGCAAGGGGGTCGCATTGGTCATTCGCAACACTCTTCTAGAGAGCATGATGAATCGTAAGGCGCAGCAGGACCAAATGTCGGTCCTCCTCCTGGACGAACCACAGCACTTCAGAGTGTCAGCGACAACCTCCCATCCCTCCCGACTTGCCCACGACAGCATCGGCGCCCGCCCCGTCCATGGCAGCAACACCGCACCCACAGCCCCGCCCCCGCTTTGTGGCCAGTCCGTCCACCTCCCGCAAACGAACGCCCGCACGTCGCCGGCGAAAACAGCTTTCCACTCCGCTCCAGTCCACGCCCCGCGAACCCAACCACGCTCGCCGCCAGAGCCTTCACAGGCCTCTTCCACCCGGGTCCGTGAATGCTTCTTCAAAAGGCTTTCCCGTCCACCGAAACGTTCGCAAGTGAGCGTGCATGCGCGGCAGGGACACGGGTTTCTGCAGGCGTACAAGAGCCGAGTGGTATTCCTGAAAAGCCTCACGCATGGAATCCTTCAAGATTTCAGCGGCCTGTATAGAGCTAGAGGGTGCCTGGGGAATATGTACATATGCAGACATAGAGAACTGTCCTAAAGAGAGGTCTTCCTTAAGACGGCGAACAAGTTGTGGATCCATATCTCCCCAACCCAGCTGGGGGTTCATCATCATCCGATTTAACTGACCGCAAACCCGTAAGTGAGGAAAAGGTTGAAACCTGCGACTATTGCTTTTGCTGATGGCTTTGCAGGAATCCTTCATACATTTGCTCTGTGCTGTGCTGTTGGTCGGTCGAACCAAGGCGACAGATCTCATTCTCACAAGCCTGACCGCGCAATCCTTTTCCAATGAGGGTTTCTTGGAGGATGGTGGGTGAGGTAGTTACTGCCACCGCGTCAGTGACTTAAGTCTTAAGTAATTAAAAAAGCTGATATTCTAAAAGTCTGCCTAGCCCCTAGGGCAGTAGAAGTAGAAAGTGATGCCCAAATGGTTGAGAAAACTGTTTCTATGGCGTGAAAGTGTGCGAACCCCAGGGCGGTAGCTGTGCGTGACGCGTGCTGGCTGCAGTGGCTCTACTGCCCCGACCGCTGTGGGGGTTGGGGTTGTCCTGCTTTGCTCGAGCCTAGTTTTAACAGTTAAAAGGTACCGACAGAATCGTAGAAAGAGTCGTAGCGACACTGGCAGTGGGAGAAAAGCGGCACAGGAAGCACGCACCTGGTCTGCGCATTCACGCAGCTCGAGCAGGTCGTCCACGAGCTTCAGTGCCTTCGCGAGCGCGTGTTTTCAACAACGGACACAAAAAAACCGAAAAGCGCGAAGGTGTCGGGCATCGGATACCCGGCTGCACACCACGTCCAACTTCCGCACACGGAAGCTAAGTTCATCAGCAACACCGGACCTGAGCACGCACACACACACACAAGTGCACACACCGCAGGCACAAAAGCTTACCGAGGCCCATGCGTCTGTTGCAAAGTTTCCTGGAGCTTGCGAATTGCTGCTGGTACCTAGAGAGCTCAAGGCAGCAGGCGAATTGACTCCTCACGATTTTGCAGACTGCCATGCCAACTCTTGACGGCTCATGGCCTGCTTGTGCTGTTCACCCAGGAATGCCAGGCTTCGGCTTTCACTTTGACCTCGATGCGGACTCTACGACGAGAACACGACGCGGAGGACTGGCAAACGATGTCATCGACACCCCATGATATCCAGTTGCAGTCATCAGCGCACCAAGACCAAAATGCAACATCAAGAATAAGAAGATCATGACAAAGCACGCACAGCAACATCACGCAACGTAACACAAAAAGAAGAGAACAAGACTGCGTTGAAGATCTCTGTCGTGGCTTTGCCACACAGACTTGTCCAACGACCTTCCGACGTCAAAGCAGGCAGCCATATCAGCCATGGCTCAGAGTGACCGCAGGAGGACAGTCGAGCACACACACTCGGGCAAAGACACTACGTTTGTTGCAGGGCTTCATTTAGCGGCACGGAAAAGCTGTGACAGCCCCATGCACATGAATCACTGCTGCCATCCTGCTGGAATACGATCTGCTCAAGGATGTAAGGCTTGAACACAAGTGCGCGGCTTTGCTGTACAGCTTGTCAAGCTCCAAGTCCAAGTCCTCCGCAGTGTCAAAATTTGCACACTTGACGACAACACCCACTGCAGGCCACGACCTGCTCTTCAGTTTCCAGGCTCAACAGCTCTGATTCAACAGCCTTGTACGTGGAGTCGCACCATCAGATGGTCATCTCGCTGACTGCGGGAAGCCTCTACCGAAAACGCCATCTCCACCTCCTTCCAGTCAGCATCATGCGTCCACAGCCTGGTCTGCACCCAGATACCGGTAAATAAGCGATGTGTGGAATACGAGGTGCTTCTGACTGCTTGCTGCTATCTTGTCAGCACAGGACTGTCACTTGAAGGCAGGGAAGCTGTGCGATCTGCCAAGAGTCGCTTATGGAATCCACAAAAACATGTCGCATCCGTCTGGTTCTACGGAAGTTGTTACAGCGTGTTCCATCCGCGGAGTCTGCTTGGATTGAAATCCGGGTATGAACTTGGTAATCCAAAGGGGCTGGTCGGCTTCAAGCAAATCGAGGGAGGGTCCATGTATTTAAATATGAGAAACTTCTGGCACAAGCAAATGTTTGTCAATCAAGAACCACAATGCATGCCACAGGCTTGGAGAAATAAGTTGTAATTGCCTCTGTTGCAAAAAAGCACGGCATTGTCTAAAGGGTATCTCCAGCATCTGAAGGTGTTGCATCGGAGGCCCCGAAGTCTTGTCCGTTCACATCTGAATGCTTCTTCCTGACACGCATGGTACGCTATTCGCGTCGGCCCTGACACTGAAACCACTGACCTCTCCATGCGAACGCTGCGTGCTTGGAGTCTGGCTCTGCTTCGTGCAGTGGCCGAAGTTCCCACCGAAGCCATCCCTCTAAACAGTTCCGTCATTCTGACAGGCATATTCCGGTGCTTCAAAGCTTCGGACTGTTTCATGGCCTTTCACTTGTCTCACCTATGGTTACATGTCTGCTTCATGCTGCAATATATGATGATATCCGTGATCTGGCACCCAGCTTCCGAGCGGCGAGCATGAAGCTTTGCGGAGGGCAATCGACAACGACAACAACAATAACAACTGCAACAACAATTTGCAGTTGAACGCTGCGCGCGCGGACGCCACGCATGGCGGGCGATCACCGCACCAAGCACTCACAAGTTGTGAAACGGACCATTTAATCTAAATATGTCTGCTAGTCTAGCTGGCTACGTGTTGTTTTGATTGCTCCAGTGATCGGTCCACGTCGCGCTGCTTCGTATCGCTTAGGGCCGACTTATTGCACATGAGAGCTTATCCCCATTTCCAGCCTGCTGCGGCTGCCCCGTATCCTGAGGACCGACGAGCACGTGAGGGGTTTGAGAGATTTCCACGCAACAGGACCACGATCGAGCTGCGCGGGGTGTAACATTACCTGAAAAGGTCAGGTGACATGCTGTGCAACAGGTATGGCTTGGCTGCCTCATGCATCCGCTTGCGCATGCAGATATGGACTTCTTCCGCAGTATAGGGCAATGCCAGGTACCTGCCACTTGCAAAGAAAGCCGGCCATTGTTGGAATGCCTGGCGCTGTGCGATGCGCTCACATGGCAGTGCCACTTGGAGAAAAAAACCAGGCTATAGCCAGTGGCCCCTAATGGGAGCATCTTCACTGGTGCCATTTCCAACTGCTGCTCGAGCTGCAACCGTAGCCATAGTTCCCCCACCAGTTTTGGTCGGTCCATTGAAAGCTCGACCAGTTGCCCTCCTCCAGCTGACACTTGTCTGCCTGCGGAGGTGGTGTCTCCACTTGGGGTTTGTCCCGCTGTTGCTGGGACTGCTCTTGCTTCTGACGCCACATGTAGCCGGGAGTGTTTCCCTTGCTGTGCTCGATCCGCACCTTTCGGGCGACTTGACCATCCTTGGGCATAAAGATGATCATCCGATTCAGCCCGCCGCACTCGCGACGTGTTTGGTCGTAAATGCATTTCAGCATGGAAGCAACAATCTCGAAGTTGTCATCCGTTTCCACAAGGATAACAACAACATTTTTTTGTTGGACGCTGAGCGAGAGGACTCCGCTCATAGCGGGCGAATGGTATCGGTCCTGGCACCAGCTGTACAAAAATAGAGCGTGGGAGAAACCATCCGTGAGCCAGTCGCAGCTGCTGATCTGGTTGCCAAGAAAATAAGAGAAACGACCATGCAAACAGAACAAATGAAAATGAGATCAGCTGCCTCCATAACAGGATTGGAATCGAAGTTGAAGCTATTGCCTATGGCCCCTTTGAGGCGCACTTTGGCAAGGACTGTTTGCTAGTTCTCGCAAAGTATAGTCAACTTCGCTCATCTAAGCCTGTCATTATCACTCAGCAGCGTAGGCAAGGCCTCCGACACCCTAAAGTATGAGCTGTTGCGTCCAACTCGTGAACCAAC